AAATACTCCCATTATATGGTAGGATATACTATATTGTGAGTCTTTGATACTAGGGAGTGGGGTTCATATTAGGGAGGGGAGTATAACAGGCCCGCTTGGTATTAATTACAGATGGATTAGAGCAGCATCACTATCTTTATGGAATCTTTTCATTACCTCCGGTCTGCCCACACCCATGGATCGGTGGACACTCCTCATACTTGAAATTGGCGTAGATGGGCGTGCCCTTGCCATCACCGTCATGTACATCCTGCAAGGATTCTAGAAATCCCTCAGACTGTCTCGCAAAAATGGAATCTGTGCGTTGCCCCTTCTGCCTGCTGTTCGCAAATCAATTTTGTGCCGGTCAGATCTATGGGACACACCAATGAACAGCAAGCTGACAGATTGCGTGATCATTGCATTGCCACAAGTGTCTCAAAAAAAGATGGACCAGCTGTTGGTATATGGTCTGTTGACAGGCGAGGTCTGTGCCCAACCTTGACATCGCTGAGATTGATCTCCGCTGCCTGATGCACGCTGAACCGGAACGCAATGCGCATGTGAAAACTGGGAACACTCTAAGGTTAAAACCATGGGCCCCTAGTATGGGCCCTTAACCCTGGGATCCTTATATACCTATTATATACCCTATATGTACCCTTAAGGGCCCCTAGAATCCTCCTAAAAAGGCCTAAGGGCCCATATTAGGGGCCCATACTTCTACCCTTAGAAACACAGTTTGATGTTGCAGAATCGCACTCGCAGGCTCCAACTGCCATGGTCCGAGCCCTGCACCAAAATAGCATGGGCATCCATAAGCCCTAAACCCGCAACCCTAAAGCATCCCTTTAATAGGCCAGCCACCGTTGCAGGACCCCTATAGCTACATTACTAATAAGAATTCGTAACAACAATATCGATAATACGATAGTTATGATGATAATACTAATGATAATAATCTACTTACCGTAATTAGTAACAAGAATAAAAATTACTTTTATAGCTGTAGCTATAATCAGTAACAATAATCATCAACCAACTTAACTATAATTCGTGATAATAACAATAAGTACTGTAATAACACTACTAGAATTACCCTAATTACTATAATTTGTAACACTAATAACAATAATTACTATAATACTACTCCTAGTAATAACTAGCGGGGGTGGCTGTTTGAATATACTATAGCAGTTTCCATTTTACTTTCCATTCTCCATATATAACCCCCAAACCCTAAACCCCCAAACCCCTTAACCCTAAACCCTCTAAACCCCCAAAACCCTAAACCACCTAAAACCACCAATGGGAGGGGGGGGGGGTTGCTGTTCGTAACCAAGGCAAGGGCCAGGCCACTCAAGCTGGGATCCTTCTCCACCTTCTTGGTGAAGTTGATCTGCCTCAGAGAGGGTAAATGGAGAATCAAATGGAAAAGGAAATGGAAAATGAAATGGAAACTAGGGATTATATGGGGTTATATTGGGATAATAGAAAAGAAAATGGAAACTACTATTTAGGGTTCAGGGGTTTAGAGTTTAGGATTTAGAGGATTAGGGTTTAAGGGTTTAAGGGTTTTGGGCGTTTTGGGTTTATAGGGTTTATAGGGTTTAGGGAATCCGGAAGATTGCAGGGACGCTGTGAAGGTGTTATAGGGATGTATGGTTTAGGGGCTGGCGGATTAGTTGAAGGCCAAAGGCCTTGTAAGGACCATGGATGCACGTAGGGATGATCAGGGGATATGAGGGAACCTGCCCACAGTCTGAGGTCTAGGTAACAAAGCCACGCCCAGTGAATTTCTCACATGATTCCTGTAAATCCCATTCTACCCTTCTAACCCTCTAGCACAAAGCACATTGCCCGGGCAGCCAGCCCTTGCTTCAGGGCTTTCTTCAACTCCTTCCACGCCTGCCCAGGACTTCTTCAGGCTTTGAACTCTCTGTCTGATATGAACTGACCCGAATGCAGCAAGGCGCCCACCGCTGCCATAGAGATTAGGCAGTAGGATGACAAGCATCTAGCAAGAGCCAGTATTCATTAGAAGAAGTAATCCTTAGCGGCGATTGGCTGGCAGATAATCCTTCTGATGAACGAATACCTGAGCTGGCAGCCCCCTTAGCTAGTAACCCTAAAATGTAAACCCGGAGCCGTCAATCTGAAACCTCAATCCTAAACCTGCAACCGACCCCACATAACCCAAAAGTTTGATCCCTAACCCCTCAGTATAGTATATTATGGTATAATATAGTATGTCATCTTATTATAATAGTATTGTCCCCTAAAACCCAAAAAATGCGCTGGCCTCCATCTGAGAGTTGAACCAGTCGCCAGGCTTCAGGCCCACCACCACATGGCTGACCTACTTGAGGTCCTTTAAAGGGGTATATAGGGATATGTAGGATAGTCCCCAAACCAATACCGAATAGTTCATTTATCTCGGTCCAGAATTTAGGTTTTGCGGCTTGCCAGGTTTAACCGGATTCTCCGTACTTTTGCTTATGAAACTCTGTAAAGTCTCTGCAGCCCCCTATGAACTTTGGTGAATCCTTACGCAGTCCCCGGCACCTTGCAGCCAACCGCGACTTAGGTGGACCCCCCACCCAGTAATAGTGACTATAGGGGATTATAGTTATAGGGGATAATAGGGATTATATTCGGGTCCTCTTAAATCCTATTATACCACTATTACAGGGTGGGGGGTTTTTCTAATGAGGGCATCCCAACACCAAAACTCCAGGCCCCAACCCCAAACTCTTCGGGGGCAAGGCAAGTCTCAGCCGTACTTTGGAAAGGTCCAATCAAGCCCCAAGCCCCAAAGTCTAAACCTTGGAAAACTCTGGGGTTTAGGGTTTAGGGTTTAGCTGTCAAACCAACTCCTCAAAAAACAAAACCGAGTGCCTACTGTAGCAGAAGATTAGGCCATGGATCCCCATAGTAGCAACTAATCCCCAGTAAAAGACCCCGAGATAAGCCATTCCCCCATTCCCTACTTTTAGTCCCCCTTAAGTAGATAGAATATAGCTCTGGGTATCTTACAACAAGATCTCCATATACCCCATATTCTATCTACTTAAGAGGGACTATATCTGGAGCTGCCGCCTTGCGTTGCTGCTGCCAGGTCAACAGCTCTTCCCTGGCAGTTTCCTGGCCAACGTTCATCAAGAGTTGTTGTACTGAATCGAGAAAAAAGAAACTACGAAGATTCTAGTAATCCCAACGCCCCAATATTGCGATCCTACAGCAGGTCGTGATTTGAAGGCTTGGAGTTACCCGAAATCATGTTGTCAATCTGCTCATGTCCGCATTGCGGTGGGGGGGTCGAAAGCAGTATACAGGAAGTCTGTGAGGTTCTTATCTAGAAATACGCGGGTTCTTGGGACTTGGGGATTCAGAGTTGGGTCGGGCTTGAAATTTGGGACCTTCGGGTCCGGTCACAAAGATTATCACGGTTGCCGTCTTTTTCATCACCACTGCTGCAACCACAGTGGTGATGACGGCTACCACCCATGGTATGGCGAGCATCATCACAGCTATAGATGTTGCCATTTCAAAAATATGTATACTGTGGTTCACGTCAGCTCTCCCCGTTGCCGTTCTTGTGATTGCGCAGTGCTGCAGCTGTTGAGTTTTGCCTCTCGACGCACTTTTCCGCGCGCATTCGTTGCACTTTCGCTTTGCTTGATGTTGTTACCTACCGGGCTTGGGAACGGCAAAGATATAAACCAGATGTGTGCGCTTGATGCGTGACACTTCGCAAGGAGGCGCAAGTACAATGATAGGTAATAAGAGTCATCAGAAAATCCGACTGTTGAAGGAGATCCACAACAGGACCTGACACTCTAACACTGATATTGCTCCGAGAATTTAAGGGATGTCGCGGTGCCATATTTCTTCGGGAGCCGAATCGGACGCATAGCCCAATTTATACCATTATCGTCCACAGCAGTTGCAGGGAGTGTAACTTCAAATTTTACTTACTGGTGGAATTAAGGGGTGGGGATCGGGACCAGTTGTAGGGGATTCAGGGGCTATTATGAGAATCCGTTCCTTTATTTCCCTACTGACCACCATTAAGTCACTAAGTGGCGGCGGGCAAGTGCTTGACAATATCCTGCATTGTATGTTTCCTAGCAGAGATCACGGAATCTTGGCTCGCAAGCGCAGCTTTTGCTTTTCGCCCTGAAGGTAGTGTGTGCCTTGGATCGCCTCTTGTATTTGGGGGGTCCGGAGGTTACCAAAATCCTCTTATGATCCCGCTACCACTGGCAGGGGATGGGTGGTTTGGCATTGGGTAAGGAATGAGCCAATAGGACTGTTTTAGGGGTCCGGTCTATTGATTCATTCTGTACTTAGAGGCAAGTGGCTATGCCCCTAAACCGTAAACCCTAAACCCCTAAACCCTAAATACAATGCGCCCGATGAGGTTAATCTGCCCAAAGCGCCAAAAGCAACTACAAGTACATCTTGCCCTGAATTAGTTGCCTGCATTCCATAGTCAAAACTCCAAGTATCCCCCTCAATCATCCCTATAATACTCCCGTATACAACTCCCCTATATAGTCCCCTATAGAACACCCATTAAGGGGTTGAGACTATAGCTCATTTTGCGTTGAACGAGGCTTTCGGAATTGGGCAACAGAGACCCTCTTTGGGGCCACGTTGGCTTGGTCTTTTGCAGACTGAAAACATTAGCCTTGGTCTTGACAAGCTATCTGCAAAGGCGACTGAGATCGCGGCCCTTGCGGCCTTAAATCCCTACTCAACCCTTAACGTATCTCTATATAACCCCAGTTGCCGTTGCGCTAGCCACTTTCTTGATGCAAGTGATTCTCCTCTGTGGTAATGTAATTTGCTTCAGTCGCTTTTGGTCTTCTCTTCGCGAGGCTGCAGCCATGACCGCAGACTGCGCGCCACAAACCATGCCAGCAAGCACCTGAACTGGGCTCAGGGCCTTTTGGGGTTAATTAGGGGGGATGCCGAATAAAAAACTACCCACCTGAGGAGAGTCTCGGCAGCCCGTCTGGATATGTATGGTACCTTGCTGGTATTAGATAACACTAGTATTGAGTACTAGTAAGTATACGGGACTATAGGACACTACCTGGTCATAGCTTGGATTCGAATGATACTGCAGCAATGAGTCTTCACCATGCCATAACTTCGCTAAACAAGCTCGGTGCTGCACGCTCCCACGCCCATGCCCAGGCGTTGCAAAGCCTGACTGGCGCTTAAGGGAAAGTGGGGAAGTGATTCCCTATAGCAATCCCTCTATAATCCCTACATATACCCCTAAACCCTAAACCCTATATCATCCCTATATATACCCCTAAACCCTATATCATCCTAATACATACCTCTATGACGGTACCTATATTCACTCCCCCACTCCCCCTTTAGCACCGGTAGGGAGCAGGTTCGTCGGCCAATTTCATCTCGAAGGGTAGCTGCGTCGGCAGGCGCGCCACCCGCTTGGTCAGGTCCTCAAAGTCAAAGGGTGGGTCAGGGTTTAGGGTTTAGGGCCATGGGTAATGCAAAGGTTACTCAAGATGGGGGGGTCCCTACTTAGGACTCCGTTTAAAGCTGTTTAGGGCATCTTTCTGGATTCTAAGCACAGCTAGGAGCCTTGGGTTCAGAACTACAATTGAAACCCAAAATCCTGCGTGACCCTGAGCATTTCAGTGGTTTAGCATCACAAGGTCAACTGGAGGGGCCTACACAATTATCAATACCCTTTAGAGGTCCATTTCAGGCACCTTCTACTGGAACTATCCAAGGAATCTAGGACCGTAATGTTGCTAATTCTCTCTACTAAACCGTGTGTATATAAATATGTATCGCTCCCTCTCTCAAGTATCTATTTCATGTCCCATGTTTTGCATTTGATTCTCCATTCATTCGGGATAGTATCCCTAAACCCTATTAACCCCCTATGTAAACAGTATAACCCTACAAAACCCTACGTGATCTCCATGTCCCTAAAGTTCTGTCCTGCACCCTAAATCCTAAGCCCTAAACCCTAAGCCCTAAACCCTAAATTCCCTAAAACCCTAAATCCCTAAAACCCTAAATCCCTAAATCCCTAAACCCTAAACCCCTAAACCCTAAACCCCAAAACCCTAAGCCCTGAACCCTGGGCCGGCCTTGCCGCTCTCAGCAAGCCCGAGCTGAAGATATTGAGCCAGGTCACACTTCTCCACGAGAACACCAACCTGATACAAACTTTAGGGGTTAGGGTTCCACCCAGCTTAATACCTTTGCGGGCTCCGCACTGATGCCCGAGATTCCCACCTGTCTCTAAACTTCTGAAATGAAACTTGGACAACGGCTCCACGCCTAGCCCTGCTCCAAAAAGGCACTGAGCCCTCCACATAGGGCCTGGGCCTCCAGGACCCTTCGGGGCCTTTTCGACATGTAGGGCTTCACAGCAAGTAGTAATTGGGGATCCCTTCTTGGACGTCCCAATCGGAACTATAGCCGACTGTAGTTATTTGGGTGCATGACGGACTTCAGTTTCGCGGGCCATAACACATAGGTGTCGCGCCCTCTTTTTGGTTGTGTGTTTAGTGTTTAGCGCACTTTGTCGCTGACTTGGGCAGATTAGACCAAGTCATCAAAGGCCCGTCGAAAACACAAAGGCACGGGGGCGTGTCGCAGAACCGAACCTCTGTTGCAACCCTTTTGTCGCGGGAGGGCCACCCAAGGCTGTTGCAAGCCCGCTGCTCGGGCCGCTCCCGCAAGCAAGAGACATAAGAGGACTGAAGGACTGATGTATACCGTGTACTGGTAGTCTACCCTTAGTAGTTTCCATTTTCTTTTCCATTATCCCAATATAACCTCCCATATAACCCCTATAATACTAATAATAGTAATAGTAAAAAAATATATAGGCTTCCTCTCCCAGCCTCTTGCTTCTGAAGTCTGCCGAGCTGCATAGAGCACTGAAGCTTTCCAATCACCAATGATACCTAGGTTCCCCAATAGCTCGGGAACAAAAGAGGCTCCCTTTTCAGCACGAGGAACCACGGACCCTGAAAAAAAAAATTGCGCATGCCCCCTAAACCCGAAACCCTAAACCCTACTGGGGCATCCCGGGATGCTGAAAGCCACAATCGCGGCAATCAAGGACGCCCAGACTGGCACCAGCAGCAAGCCTGCAGGGTTCCTCCCATTTCTTAACCATATAGGTTGGGTCATTCCCCCTTACAGTAACTGTTAATGTTGAGCCCTCTTTAATAAGTAGGGCCCCCCCTAACATTAGGGCCCTCCGAAAAATAGAAATTAGGGACCCTCAATACTCCCCCCCAAGCTCCCACGGTTCTGAGGTCCCTGAAGATTGATTTAAAAGGGATTGTTGAGAATCCTTCCTACATTTTAGGGGCCCCAAAATCAAAACAGATTATAGGGGACCTTGCAATCATTGCCCAGGTCCTGAATAAGCTGGCCCGAAAACACATTTTGGGGGACCTCTACGCTAAAGCGGGTCCAACATTACCACAATGGGTTATAAGAGTTATAAGAACCCTTAATAAGGCTCCTTTAGGGACAGTTACTGGGAGGGGGAATGACCCAAACCATATAGGGTTAACTTTAGAGCGGAATATATGGGATTATTGGGGATATATAGAGTTCTTTTCCATTATCCCTAAACCCATCTAGTAGTTTTCATTTTCTTTTCCATGATCCCAATATACACTACTGAACCCTTGCCTGCCTACAATTCCGTCTAGCGCCACCAGCGTTATGGAAATAGCTGCCAGGCCGAAGCGGAGGAACATGGCGAAGTCCTCGTGGGGGAGGTTCGCATAAAGGTGAAGGGAGACCCAAAACTTGAATCTAGAGTTTAAGGTGTTTAGGGCTTAGGCCGTAGGATCTAAGGTTTAGGGTTGTGGAGTTATGGCTTGAGGTTCGCACTTCGCTACCAGGTCACTCCAGACCCTGAATCCAAAACACGAATCCCTAATCCATTATCCCAAAAATCCTAAACCCTAAACCCTGATCCATAATCGCTAAAAACTAAACCCTGATCCATAATCCCTAAACCCTAAACCCCTAATCCCCGAGCCCTAATGGGGACGTCCTTCCCTTGTGCTTGAAGCACTGCGCGGACTGTCTCCTTGCTTTGGCCTTTGCATTGCCCAAATGCAGACAAAGCAGGACGTAGCAGGTTATCACAATAACTTACCCCAGGTACTCTTTGGACTCTCAAACCCTATATAACATAGATACCCCTTTTTGAAGTCCTTGGACCTTCAGGGTTTTCCCCTCCCCCTCTGTGCAAAGAGCCTAGGCCTAGGTCTAGGGTTCGGCCTCTACAGTGCTCCGCAGCTCACTTCCTGGGGTTAATAGGGGAGAAGGGAACATACTAATTTAGGGATTCTATTCCCTTATTCCCTACTAACCACCAGTCAGTAGGCTGAGGCAGCGACCCCAACGCTGCAGCTCTTGCTCAAACATGGGGTTGTCCATTGCTTGCATGAAGACCTGCATCAAGCAAGCTCTTGACTATCTTTCATGAAGCCTTGGACTTGCAGCACACAGCTATGCGTTCCAAGGCAACGACTGCGCCTTGTAGTGCATGATGGAGAAGCCAACTTGCAGAACCGCCTCGGATGCGCCCCCACACACTGAATTAGTCTCCCAGGACGAGGAGAGTACACTCACTGGCACGCAATAGCTACGAAAGCATGCGACAGTGAGATTACTACAATGGCAAGCCGCACTAGCGACAATGAATGCTAGCCATGGTCATGATACAAGCACAAAGTATCCTTTTGACCTTGTACAGAATGCTTATCGGGGCAAGCAACACACGAGCACGCGCGCTCCCTCTTGCTGCCGAAAAACAGTCGACATGAACAAAATGAGTAACAGCAGCAGCCGATACATCAACCGAAACTGAGCCATGGTTGCAGAACTAGAGAATCAAGGTAGGATCAGTATAGATTCCACTTTGTGACATCCTGCCTGCATGGTTTTGCCAACTGTGCATGCAATGTCTTTCAGGCTAGGAAAGTGCATGGTCGGCCATCTATCTGGATTCCAAATCATTTGCCTGAAAACTGATGCTTAAACCCTGCTTGATGTAGTTTCACATGCACGCATAGGGCCTCTCCAAGGATGTGCTTTGGGGGGAACCCTAAACCCTAAATCCTAAGTCCTAAACCCTAAACCGCGTGATCTCATGGAGACAGGCAAGTCTACGATCTGGAGCCAGAACTGCACCAGAATCGTGGGCCCTGGATGCTATGAGAAAGCCTTGGGTGGGTGGGATAATGGAAAAATGGAAACTGTTATAATGTGGTTATATAGGGATTATGGGGTATATATTGGGGGTTATATAGGGATAATGGAAAAGAAAGTGGAATTTACTGCATTATAATAGGGTATATATATATATAGGGATAATGGAAAATTTAGGGGATTAGGGTTTAGGGTACATGAACTAAAGCAAGTAGCAGCTAAATATAATTAAGTGTAGCTAAGTAAGTGATTTTGCCATGCCATAATTTCAAAGAACGGCACTGGTGTAACAACGGGGCTGCGCCCCGCACCGGGAACCTCTATGGGCTCATGTGAGCCGGTGAGCCATAGTTTAAACTCCCAGTATCCCCCTTTAATAAGCCCTATGATACTCCCCTATATAATCCCCTAAATCACCCCCTTTAAGGAGTCTAGACCCTAAACCATATATCCCTATATAACCCTATATAATCCTATATAACCCCTATAACCCTATATAACCAACCCCCTTTAAGGAGTTTAGGCTATGGCTCAGTAAGAGCATCAAAGCTCCCTGAGGCTCATCAAACTCTTAGCAAGGTCCTGGGGCTGCGCGAGTCTGTAGGAGTTCCTCATTGGGACTATGGAGGTTGTACATGGATAGTGGAAAAGAACATGGAAACTACTACCATGGGGTTATATAGGGTTTAGGGTTTTGGGTATATTGGGGTTATATAGGGATATTGGAAGAGAACACAGAAACTACTAGTATATAAGGCATAATATATATATATATATATGTAGGGGATATATGAGGATAATGGAAAAGAAAAAGGAAGTTACTATTGAGGGGTTTAGGGTTTAGGGCATATTATGGGGTTTCCTAAAATGAGGGGTACCAGTCCGGGGGTGCCCCAATAATGAAGATTTTAGTATAGTGCCCCTAATTGTGCGAACTACCATATAGCAACTATAAAAAGGTTAGATATGGGTAAATGGAGACTGCAATTTCGGATTTGTCTTGCATGCATCTCGGAACTGCTTTTCACCTTGAAGTTTGATGCGCAGGAGAAGACCGAGCATTCACTTATCCCCACTTGTGCAAAAGGTGGAAGACTTCGCACATGCGGGCATGGACTTCAGCCAGGCACCTGTATTTGATTGTCTCCAATCCTCTAGTGCCACAACACCTTTCATCAACACTCAACAGAATTTAGGATTGCAGAGTAGCTTTCAACAACCAGCGCATTCAAGCGTTGCAGAAATCCCTGCCAAGCGCCTCTAAAGGCTGAAAGTCCCGTGAAGTCGCAGTCTCCAGCATCTGATGGACGGAATTGGAACAAGCCCATCAGCTGATGCCAAATTCAAAAGTTCTGGCATGCCCTGTGCAGCTTGTTGCGCTCGGAGCTTCAACGCCACAAAATGTCTGGGAGATGCCTAGCTTTACAGGTTTTGGGCAAGATCACCACAGTGCTGGCCTTTGGTTATCTGGGAATGATGGAAAGGAAAAGAAAATAGAAACTAGTCTCATGGGTTATATAGGGTCTACTATAAGGATCCCCCTAAACCCTAAACCCTTCATTCCTAGCTAACCACAGGCCCGCAGTGTCTCCCGGTCGCCTACTCAAAAGTTCTGTTGGCCAGCACCACCCGCCGCAGGTGAATGATCAAGGCCTCCTCATCACACATGCCTCTCCACTTCTCTTGGGCTAAATAAATAGATATATATATATATACACAATATACCATATACCATGTACAAAATACTATATACTATTTCCTATATACTATACATACATGTACTAGGGTATTGCTTAGCATGTTTCTTCTATCCAGCCCCAATTTCAGCATCGGGACAGTGGCTAGCGGCTAGCTTTGTACTTGACCCTCTGTAAGCTACTGGCGGGAGACTTGCCGACTGAGATCACGACGCTGCCAGGTGTTGCTCACCAAGATCTGCGCCAACGACAGGGGCAGAAGCCTCTTGCGGGCGGCGGCGGTGCACCTGGTACTTCGATGAAACGGATCAAGATGCGGTAGAGTTCTGAGAGGGAAGCGTGCTTGAATATGCGTAGAATTTAAAATGTAGTGTTCATCCGAAGAAAAGTCCGGAGCACTTGTCTTGTTTTTTGCCGATGATGAACTGTGTAGTTGTTGCTTCAAGAACGTCAAGGTTCGTCATTATGGCTGCTGTGTCCTCGTCATCGGGCGTCGAACCCCAACACCTGCCCTTGCTGACACTGTGGCTAGAATGGCCAAATCAGCCCGGCCCATTTAGCCTGCCCAAAAACCCATGAATCTGTAATTCCCAGGCACGGGCAGCATCCTGCTTGCATTTGGGAGGGGGCAGCCCCTCCACATCCGTCCAATTCTCCACCTCACCTGAGCTACAGTCCAAACTCCTAGCATCCCGCTTAATAATCCCTGTAATACTGCACTATATAATCCCATTTATCACCCCTTTAAGGAGTTTAGGCTAAAACTCACCTGGGCAAACATTCATCAGCCCTTGCTCGAGGCTCATCTTGGCTGTGGTCGAGTTATTCCCTCAGCCTTAGCCCTGAACCCTTCAGCATTTAATGTATAGGACAGTTACCTTCAGTAGCTGTTTCCATTTTGTTTTCCATATTCTTTTCAACCTGATTCTCCACTATTGATATGGCTCCAGATGCGCCCCTGATCCCCAAACCCCAGCACGCTGGAGCCAGGCGGCTTGGCAGCGACTTGGGAACGGCACCAGTCCCGGACGGGTCCCGGTTCTGGGTCATGACGCGCTGCAGAACCGCGGCTGAGTGGCTTCCCTGAAGCTCCTGGATACCGTTCGGTAGTCTTAGGTCCCATTGAAGGGGTTATGGAGGTTCTATAAGGGTCCTCTCAGAGGATTCTTGTTCTTGAGGGATCTCCATAAAGGGGCTATAGGGATATAGAGGGTTCACGGAGGGTCTCTCAAATCAGGGGTTCCGCCGGGGTCCACGGCCCGAGACATGTATGAGGAGCGTAGAAAATTTATCTTGAGAAATCTCCATATCTTCAGGTTCATGACTTTGGGCTTCGGCTTCAGGGTCTAGGGATTGGATCTTAAGGCTTTTGAGTTACGTCTTGGACTTGGACCACGAAGTCTTCGTGTGATAACAACTTGCCAATAACTACAAGGAATACACGGAAATAGCGGTGAGTATCCATGAGGCTCCCATAATGAGCTTGGCTTTTGCTGATGGTTCTTCCTGACCCGATCCCAGCACCCCGAAGTTGAACCTGCTGCGGGTACCTTTAAAAGGTCTATGTTGGGGTGAAACTTGGCGAAATTGGGGTAATAAAGGGTAACCCTAAACCCTAAACCCTAAAACCCTAGACCCTAAACCCTGTGGTAAGCCTGAAAATTTCTCAATCACACAATACCCAGCAAAACACACTGAAATGCCACCATTCCAGCAGGATGACTTTAGAATCCGTGCGCTGAATACCTCAGCCCTAGAGCCCAAATCCGAAATCTAAACCCTAAAAAAAAAACAGATAATCACCAATAAGGACCCTAGAACCCTCTCAGTCCCCATAATATCCTGGAATTCCTCACCTTGAACACTGTGAAAAGCTCCTGAACCGCGGAAGTTGCGCTTTCTGCGGAGAGAAATTGGACCTTGAAGGCTTTTCGGGATGTCTACAACCCTCGAAGTTGACTATAGTCTAACCTCCTGGTATGCCCCTATAACCCCTATACTACTGCCCTAAACTATCCCCCATATAACCCCTGTAGGGAGTTGAGGCTACAACTTTAAAAAAAAGTGTTGCCAAATATTGAGGAGTGCCCTTTGGGGAGTCCCCCCCTAAACCCTAAACCCCCCCTTATAAAGAGGAGTATAGCAAATTAGGGTCCAAACTCATCTTTAGAGACTGCACCATTCGGGCTTCAATAATTAGGTCCCCTTTAAGGGGGATACATAGGGGGTATATAGGGATATATAGGGATATATAGGGGTATCCAGGGTTTAGGGTTTAGGGTCCATGTACCCAATAATCAGGTACTTGGGTTTTGGCTAATTAATAGTAATTCTAGTACAGGTTTTGGGTATGTATATGATTATTAGGTGCTTGGACCTTTAGGGTTTGTCAACAACGGATATACATCAGAGGCCCCTGATGTGGGCAAACTACCAAAGGTAGAATCTCTGTCAGTGCTCCGTCAAGCATGCAGAAACCCAACTGTCTCTTCTAGGAAGATCACGAAACACTTGCGCCATGAAAATAGGTGACCCTAGACCCTGGACCAAGAAGGAACTGCATGATGTCACCTGTTTACAGCCCTACCCAGATCGGAATAATCCTCATTCCAACTGTTGCGGGACCTTCTTTTTTGTCGCTGCTGGCAGCAGCGGGTAGATGACCTTCCAGACGGGCTGTAGTCCCAAAGGCGCATCCACCATCATCACCTGCGTTGCAACTGATGTGGTGGGAGTTGCTCCAAAGAACGGTATCCTCATTAGCCCATGGGATACATCGTAGGCATCATAGGGGTCATAAGAAGATGAGAACCAGCCCTTCCGTAGGGATGATGAAGGACTCTGAGGGATCATGGTGCTCTCTCTCCTGCTTCTTTTCCTTCCGAAGTCACCCCACCCCTATGCAATTGGACAGATCTCAGGACGACGCCGCATCCGGACTAACCCGTTTCCAGATTCAGCCCCTGCGCAATCCTTGCGTAACGTACGCGTAAATTTTATGCACTTGCGTAGTCTCTCCCTGTGCATAACATTTCGTAGAAAACACAAGGCATCAGGTTAAGTGGCTACAATATCTTCTCACAACCTCATTACAATTTCAGCCTTTCCCCATCCTAAACCCTAAAAGCATCCGGGGACTAATGCAGGTATCCACTCCTAGACCCTAAACCCTAAATCCTAAACCCTAAACCCTAAATCCTAAACCCTAAACCCCTAACTTACCAGCTACAAAGAGCCCTGAGGTGCCGACGGTTCGCAAGCGATCGCGGTAGGGCTGCCGGAGCATTTCTGCGATGCCAATCCTAGGTGAATTATGGTCTAAACTCCTAGTATCCCCCTTAATAAGCCCTATAATGGTCCCCTATATAATCCCGCATATAATCCCCTAAAGGAGTTTAGACTATAGCTCAGGCGGGTATTGAAAGGGGTTCTTACTATGATTGGCAGTACCCTTACTAGTACTAGTCCTAGTTCCTTCTTATCATGAAGACTATTGTTGTTACGATTACGGTTATTACTATTCTTAGCCGCATCATCATGATGATGGTCCAGATGTGAACTAGCCTTTGTGTTTACCGGAAGTACCTTTAGTATCCTCAGTGTTAGGTCGCGGTTTAGGGTTTAGGGTTAGCAGCGTCGCGAGCATGACCCATCTTATTTCATCTGTTGGGACTATCGATTTGTGAGTGCGTTCATCTCCTCACGTTGCTGCACTGATGAACACCTGTCCGCCCACTAGGGATGTAGCAGCTTGGAAAAGGAGGTCATCTCCCATCAGCCCTTGTATGAGTATCGCGAAACATGTCCAAGGCCGAATTCACTTTTCTCTTTTGGCACTGCTGTGGGGTCTAGACAACTGGCACGGGGCTTGGGAAGTTATGTACTATACTGACTATACTGGTATAGACATCAGGAAGGATTGCCAGATAAACTTTCTGAACGCTCAAGCTTGTTTCAGAATGTGACGAACCCATACCAGTAAGAGCCGCAACTGATTGTTCAAGGAGGGCTTCCAACATGCATTGTAATGCATTGTAAAAAACTCCACATTTATCGAAACATATTTGCATTCTCCAGAAAACCTTAAGCCTCAAACCCTAACCTTTAACCTAGAATACTTAGACACAAATCCTAAACCAAAATCATTATACCCCTATAGTTTCACTTTTTCTTTTCCACTATCCCTAAACGATAGAACATCTGCAAGGCCAAGTCCTGAACTTATGATCCCTAAACCCTAAACCCCTAAACCCTATTATGATTGGTGGCTTCACTGCAGAGCCAACAAGAGCCATTGCCCACCTGTGCTTACCGAAACCACGACGGATACTAGTAATCATACCGGGCTCACTGTATATCTTAGCCTTCTAACCCCTAAACCCAAAACCCGAAAAAAAACTGAACCCCAAAACCGATAATCCCTAGACCCTGAACCTTAAACCCTAAACCTCCACCCTGTAATAGTGGTATAATAGGAATAAAAGAGGACCCTAATATAATCCCTATTATCCCCTATAGTCACTATTACTGGGTGGGGAGTCCACCTAATGTATATCCCTATAACACCCGTATCAGTGGGTGTGGGAGCCACCTAATGTATACGCCAAACACGGGATTCCTACTCAAATCACTCCAGACGGGCCCTCCATGTGTTTCCTCTGGTTTTGCTCTTCTCTTTGGTTCCCCAGTACTAGCTAGTAACAGCGGTGGCGTAGGTTGTGGTTGTACTGGACTAGCAGCATGGCTTTTTGGATTATCCGTATTGACTTCTACCGAGCGGCGTCAGAGCTGATTTTTACGGACCAACCCTTAAGTGTCGGCTTGCGCAAGGAATCTTACGTGACCCTCCCCCCCCCCCCACCCGCTTATGTGACAAGCTTTTTTATACCGGGATAATGGAAAACAAAATGGAGACTACTACATATTATTGAAAAGCGTCACAATTCTTGGGTCCATGTTGTACCAGAGACAGAAGCCGTGACAGTCAACCACGGCATCAACCTGACCAGCAAAGGGAAGCTCCCGGGAATCATGAGCGTTCCCAAACTTAGAGGCACCTTTGTAAGGGGGGTTATAGGGGTTATATAACTAGGTCTACAGTCCCCCTTAAGTTGATGGAATATGGGATATATTATGGGTATCTTATGATATTGGTCAATTCCAGATTCTACTGTATCTACTGAGGGGGGATGGTAGGTCTAGGCCGGTTGGACTTACAAATGAGCCAAGCACCGTAACAGAATCACTCAGACAAAGCTAAGAATGTTACTAAGGCAAGACCATTGATCTGAACATTTACCCGCCCCCCGCCCCCACAGATGACGCAGAAGTGAAGTGAACCATTGCTTGTGGACACCCTCTCCTTCAAGGGGCCCTATGCTACGGCAAGACTGCAAAAAGGTAGGAGCCCATGGAACCTAGTCTTTACGGCTACAGACCATGCAGTTCCAAGGGGTCTCCAATTCTCATGTGACCTATGCTTTGCTCGTGGCACTTGTCAAGTGCAAATGCGCTTTCAGTCGGTCTGTATGGACACGGGTTCCTGATTAGGGACTGTATGACGGACTCTACTACTCTGTTACTACAGTATACTAGACTACCAGAGAGACCCTTCTGACCCCGTTAAGGTCCTTCATTTTGCTGCAGATTCTGACAGGAGCTCATATGCAGATCGAGCCACCTGCTGCACGCCTGGCGGCATCTTCCGCACAGCAGTTTCTAGGACGCAGGCGACATGGTCCAATGTGTCAGGGACGCTGAAGCTGTGCGTCTGTTGTCGACAGCACCTCAGCATGCTTAGCTTCAGTGACTTGTCTCAAGGCGTTCACGTCAGCCTGGAGGTGCAAACATCCCGAGCCGAGTCAAACCGAGGACTGAGACTAGGATTTCTTACGAAACCTTGAACTAATCGAAGTTAACATGGCCCTAGCAATTACCTGGGGAAGCGCAAGATCAACCTACAAGAGCTACTGCATGCAGCCACGGCACAAATACAGCAGAGGGTGTCCCATCGTGCCCTGAGCCAGAACGCGAAGATCGCCTTGCCACTTTGGCACACGGCTGCCAGTGAGAACATCCTCGACCGCAATTGCTTCACGTTTGCTGCGGTGGTTTGACATCGGACTTGACTGTCTACTGGCCTCATAGCACCGGCTGGAGACTTAAGTGCAGAGGTCGGGATCTTGCATGTATTTGGGTGATGATGAAGGATATGGTGCAGCTACAATCACAACAGCTCAATATCCTTGTACTGCTCCCGCCAGAACAGAGCTTGTGCCAGTATCTGCGCAGCTGCAGTAACGTCTCCACGCCGACCGCGAAGAAACATCGAGACTACCTGCATGCAAAGCTTTTACAAACACATCGCATCGTCATTCACGGTTCAGCACACCCGTCCCATCTACAAGGCGGAAAGCCCTCTACCCAGCTTGTGCTTGCACCACAAGGCAAGAAAGCAATGGGAGCATGCAGCGTCATTCTTGCAAAGCTCCTGCCGCTCTTAGCTTTGGCCGCCAGCCAACAGTCGTCTCTGCTTCTACGCATGCGAACTTTGCCATCAACGCCACACAAGGCAAGGCAGCAATGGGAGCATGCAGCGTCGGTCTTGCCAAATTTTCCCGCGGCAACAAGCACTACGTCAACCTCGTGCTGTAGTTAGCCTTGGCCGCCAGCTAACATTCGTCCCTGCTTCTACGTATGCAAACTTTGC